TGGCACCGCAGCTGCCGCCGTGGGGACCAGCTCCGCGACGGGGACCCGGGCCGGGCGCGGGGGCCGGGCGCGGGACGACGATGTGATTCCGCCGCCGGGGACCCGTGAGCTTTGTGTGGAGCCCGAGGTAGGCGCGCGGGGAAGTTGGCCGGGGACCCCGGAGTTGTGGGAAGAGGCCGGAACTCCTTTGCCCCCTTCCAGGACTAGCCTCCGCGACGGGGACCCGGGCCGGGCGCGGGGGCCGGGCGCGGGACGACGATGTGATTCCGCCGCCGGGGACCCGTGAGCTTTGTGTGGAGCCCGAGGTAGGCGCGCGGGGAAGTTGGCCGGGGACCCCGGAGTTGTGGGAAGAGGCCGGAACTCCTTTGCCCCCTTCCAGGACTAGCGCGGGCTCGGGGTCTCTCAGGGCGCTTTCTCCCCAGCCCACCAGCCGGGGTGGCCGGATCCCCTAGGAAGGGGTCCGGGGAGCCCTGATGGAGGGAGAGAAGGCGGGGAGCAGACGCGGAGCCGCGCGAGGAGGCAGAGCCGGCGCCCGCGGTCCCAGAAACCCTCTGCTACCGAGGAAGGGTCGCGAGAGCGGTCAGGACGCCAGCTGTCGGGGATTCTGATCCTGGGCCCCGGGTGCGAGCCCTTCCCTGGGCTGGGCGGTCCCCACGTCGATGGGGAGGTGGGGGAGTTGAGCCCTTTGCCCGCATCGCGTCCCGGGGCTGGACCCGGGCTGCACACGGTCACCTGCCCCAGGAGCTGAGCCCGGAGCGGACTTACAGGTCCGAGCCACTGCAGCTGGGAACACGGGGGGCATCCCTGCTGTCAGCCCGAGCGGGCCTTCCACTTCGGGGCGCCTGCCGCTCCTCTCCCCATCCCGCACCCCTCCTTGGAGGCGCCCTCCAGGGACGTCCAAGTTTTGACTTTCGAGGTGGGAGTGGGATGTATGTGGGAGACGTCCCGACTCGGGGTGGGCTCGGGATGCAGAGCCAGGAAGAGGCACGGGCTAGCCGAGGGTTGGGGGCTTTCTGCCCGACGGGCACAGAGAAGGGGGAATCGGGGAGAGAAGGCTCGGCGCTGCGGGGGTGAGCTGGAGCCGCGGACCGAGGATGTGTGCCGGGGTGGAGCAGGGAGGAGGGGGGAGGAGGGGAGGGGGCGGAGG